TCTTGCCCTAAAGACACCCACGTTTGTGTTCCACTTTTAGTTGCTTATGTATGCTCTAAGGTTATGGAAACACTTTTAATACTACCGAGGTTTTGGCGGGAACTTGAACGGCGACAGATTGCTGCTCCTGTATTATTGTTTAAAATTTAAATAATGGTTTGAAGTGGATTTTGATACGTAAAAGTGGTGCGATTTTGTGTATTAAATGTCTGCGCATGTGAACTATTAGTAGAAACGGTTAAACAAGTGTTCTGATGGTGATGTGATTCTCAAGAAAAGGTGTCTGTCTGCTTAGGCGCCTTGGAATACCATCGCCAACTCTCAACTGTCTGCTGGCTCAAGTTACCGTCTAAATCTCCCAAAGGCTGCGCAATGTGACGCATCAACATGTTGTGAAGCAGTGTACTATGAAGGATAATTATACACTGTAACTTCAGGCCCAGAAGGGCTACACCCCAGAGCCGTAAAGCCAGTTATTTAAAAAAAAAAATACGACCAGCTACCTGGTGTTTTCAAAATCCAAATTCAAACTTCAAAGTCATAATGTCTTTTTGAAAGCCTCAGATTTCTTTAAAAATAATTTTCGTGTTTTGGTTCATTAACAATTTTGAATATTATTTTTATTAGCACAATTTCTCCAAATTCAAATCGAATAATACCAACTTCGAAAAGTCTGGAAATTTTTATTACAGAACTAAACTAATGATGATGAAGAAGAAATCAAACATATTATAGCGTAGCGTTGCGTAACGTATAAGTGTTCGTATCATAACAAACTACGTTTAAGGTTTAAAACTGAATGTATTGTACTCTATACACAAGATACACACGTGTGTAGAATTTCAATAAGTATGTGTGGTAATGTGTGCGTGAGATACCTGCGCGTGAGCTCTCACAGGTGTAAGGGTGCGTTATCGTGGCAACATTACCACAGTTATACTTAAAAACAGATAATCGTATTTCTGACCAGTGTTTATCAAATATAATAAAGAAATGAACATGGAGACTTTCATTATTTCCTAATTTCTCGAATCGATAAAATATTTAAATTAAAAATACGTAATTTATTTTAGGCTGAAATTATTGCACAACCACAAAATGGCTTGAATAGACTTTTTGTTTGGTTTAACTAATCTGCTAACAATCAACATTTCTAAAAAAATATTTTGTTTTAAGCGCAGAATATAACGTATGAGCGATATAATTGTAAACAAAATACTTAAACTTAATACTTACTTGGAATATTTTGCCCGATGTTTTAAAATAAATAAATTGTAAAAAGAAGCAACTGTGAAAAATACCTTGGTATAGTACTTGACGACAACGTATGACGGAAACCTCATATAAACAATAAAATCCAGTCTTATTGCTTTAATGGGATTATTACGATCTTAGGTGTCTCATTTACCACCAAGTGTTAGATACGCAATTTACAACACATTAATGAAACCAAATTATAACTACTTAATATAAGTTTATGGGTGTATTAAAACTATTTTAATGAAGTATAAATATTGTCAAATGATATATAAAAATAATTTTAACTATGATTTTCTTACATCGACAGATAGCTGTATGCTAAAACCCCCACATATAATGAGTATCGGACAAACATATACTCATATAAAACACATATATATTTTAATTCAAAAATAGACAATACCATAAATATTACAAATAAATCAACAAAGTTTAATTTTCGGAACTATTTTAATATTTAAAGTTAAAATTAAAATTAAAAATAACATTTATTAGGTTAATTAGAAGTATTTATGTTTTAATTTGATTTGTTTGTGTTGTATTTTATGTAATATAGCTGTCCCTCGCGACTCGCCCGCGTGGAATTTACTACGATTTCATGGGTTTTAATTTTTTGCGCGGAACCCTAATTCTTTTTCTAAAATAAAAGTATCCCAAGTTACTCCTTATAACATCAGCTATCTGCCAGTGAAAGTCTCGTCTAAATTTCGGAACAAACAGACAGATAGATAGACAAAAATTTAAAAAATTGTTCGTTTGTTATTAGTACCGTATAAACTTTCATATGCATTTAGTGAAAATCTGTTATTTTAACATTACAAACAGACACTTCATTTTTATTTATTTGTATAGATTATTTGCTATGTTTTTAAAATTTTAATTTAATAATAAACTTTTGACGTCATTTCACAAGTAAGTGATAATATTGAACTGTACTGCAATCCGTACGCTAAATTAAATATTGCGTAAATTGAAGATTTGTGAATTCCATAAGATAATTATTATTAAGTACATTTTATTTAGAGATGTATTTGTTTAGATTAAAATAAAAGAAAAACTACTATTATTAAAAACATAATAACCAATATAACCTAGCTTTATAATCAGTTAAGAATACTAGATTACTTAATAACTAATGCAATATTAACGTAAACCCTATATTATATACTTCTTATAACTGGAAAATGTTTTTTTTTCTACCAACTTCAAAAAGGAGGACTTATTTTTTTTAATTTTGAATTGTTTTGAACCGATTTTATTCATTTTTTTGAAAGCTGGTGCTTTTCATGTGTTGTATAAATTTGACCAAGGGCTGACCAGTAGCCTTTGAGTTATCCTTAATAATTTATATTGAATTCAGTTGTACAAAATTTTTAATTTTAGCACTTGTGATTAAAAAAAAAAGTTTCCTTAAAACTAATTTAAAACTAATATAGAAATATTAAAAATGATCTGTAATGTATAGATGATAATATAGTATAGTTTACCATGTAGTAGGATTTCCTTTGTGTCTGGGTAGTTTTTGTGCCTGGGTAGGAATCTGGTACTGCTGGTCTGAAGGACATAGAAAGCCAGTATGATAACAGGCTGTAAGGTATTTCATTTTAGTGATCAGAGGTGAGACCGCATCTGCAGCCTTCTTTGTTGTTTCTCTTTTTCAACAAAAGTTTGCTGCTGCAGGTATCCATGGACTGCAATAGCCACTTATTAACATGTGGACTGTAAGCTTACTTGTTACTTCACTTATCTATCAACCACTTAAACATATATTATGTAATTTTACGTCTTTGTCACAGACCAATCATTTGTGTTTCCATAGAATTGAAAATAATACCATAATTTGTCTATACAAATAAATAAAATTGAAGTATCTGTTTGTAATGTCAAAATTACAGTATTTTACTAAATGCATATGAAAGTAAATACGGTACTGATAACTAAAATACAATTTTTTAAATTTTTGTCCGTCTGTCTGTCGGTTTGTTCCGGCTAATCTCCGAAATGGCTGGACCGATTTTGACGGGACTTTCACTAGCAGATAGCTGATTTCATAAGAAGTAACTTAGTCTACTTTTATTTTAGATAAAGAATTAGGTTTCCGCGCAAAAACATAAAAACCCCAACACGCGAGCGAAGCCGAGGAGAACAGTTAGTATATAATAAAAAATTGTAAGCAGGTCTTTTGTCTGCTTGTCAGTGTGTTTGTGCACTCTAATTTCCACGACGGCTGAACCTTCTTGGATGTGGTTTTAAGTCATGCATTTCGATAAGGTTGGGCTAACATTTAGCGTAATTTAAAATTGACATAAATGCATTGTATGCGTGCACATGCATTGTATTTACATGCAATGTGTACGCGTGCACTTTACGCCATAAGTTCACAAGTGAAAATAAGAAGTGTTGCTCTGCTGTTTTATTTGGTGTGCGCTGACCAAATGATTGGATATATATGAAGGTATTGTACTATTGTAAAAAATTTCTTTAATTTTGTCCGAACGCTTGTTTTTTATAAATGACGATGATAATAGCCTGTGTGTTTATAGCATGGCCAGCTCTAAGCGCCTATGTCGCGTGTTGACAATTCAAGAAATCTGTATGCAATAATCAATGTATGTGTGGTTGTATGTCCAATATTGTAAAAAGTTATCATTATTGTAGAAATAACAACTAAAAGAATAAGTTAAAAAGAGGTCAACTGTCTTTATGACGAATTCACGCTCTTTTCGTTCGTCAGCGCCATTTTTATAAATTTTACCCTATGTTTTAAAATTAACCTTCTATTTTCATCATAATTCAATGACCCTGTAGTTATGAATCTGAATCTATTTTTTACTTATTAATGATGATATTATTTTATGTATGTTAAATAGTAAATTTAAAGTAAAGTAGCTTACATAGGTCTGACTGCTTGACCTTCATTTCTGAGAGTGCTATGTAGTTTAGCTGACACATTCAATAAAACTTATGTAATTTATATGTTTTAAATTTTAACAAAACTAATTTTACAGATTGTATCACGTTTAATTTCAACTTTTTAATGGACACGAGGGTGACTGAAGTTTTAACGTCCCTATATCATAGTTCATCCGGGCTATCTACAGCTTTTAGTTGCACTACAGTGAAGTTATTGGCAAATTCTATATGTAAAATTCTATTATGTTGGTTTTATATCGAAAAAGAAAATCATAAAATCATGATCCGATGGGTGGAGTTTATATTATAATATAGGCTGTCTGTATGTCAAATATATCCCATCCCATGGCAGACAACGATGTGATTCCAAATATTAACATGGAACACTAATAATTTTATTAAAGTGTAGTCCACGCGCGCAACGCCGTAGGAAAAAGTTAGTCAGGTTATAAAATAACATGGTGTTCCTATTGAGGTGCACATTTTGTTGTTGCCCAAAACATGTTCTCTCTACACACGCTCTGCCTGGCTGTCCCACAATCACAGTCTATTCACAACTTAAAGCATCACACCACCACCACTCCGTCCGTAACAAAATAATGTATACCACAGTTAACCGCGCTGGCTAACGCAGCGCACGTCTTTGTCTGTGCGCCTTTTTTTAATAAAAATAAGTTTAACGTTAAACTCTTCAACATATTATTCCACATTTACTTTTGATTTTTTTTTAATTTTTGGAATGTAACTGAATTAAAATAACCGATTAAGGTATTGTGCCATAAAAATAGTGATGTTATTTTGTGCAGAGTAGGTTTTTAAGAATAAAAATGGGTGTTCTATCGAGGTTGTTTCTTGTGACCGTCTTGCTGCCTTGTGTTTTGGGCCAAGCGCAAGCAGAGTGTTTTGGTGCTGGTAGCGTCGCTGGTGCAGCTATCGGTGCATTTATTGGAGCTCTTTTACTGGTCGCAGCCGCGTATTACTTAAGAAAATTGTATTGGAAATCACGCAAAGGTGAGTTACATCGGTTATTATCTTATTATTTTTTTTCTTTCAATTATGCCTGCAGCGTCAAAATGATGAGACACGCACCAAGTACCCACGTAATGTTGCTTGCAATGATTACAATGATTTTGTAAAACGTTCGTTCGATAACCTTGAAGTTTTAAGCAATTGAATTGAAGTTGCAGTTTTTCAATCATTTTACTTTTCTTAGTAATCGTTTATTTTAAAATTCCTATTACATTAAAAAAATATATAAAATGCATGTTAACAAGTTAACTGATCTCGTAATTACCTACTTTTAATTAAATATTAATTACGATAAAACTTCTATAAACAGTTTTACAGTTGTTAAAAATGTGTCTCACTTTAACTTTGTAAAATTGGACAGTGATATTTTTTACAATAAGCAACTCCTAATTGTTCTCTGATTAGAAATAAAGATAGGTACCTTAGATGTCTTAATTTTACAAACACGGATCTTTTACATAATATTTTTGTATTATAATTAACATTATTGTAATGTAATAATAACAAAAAAATAATAACAATAAACATGTTAATTCATTAACGGTAGTAAAATAGTGTATGTGTTATGGCTCGCAGGTGCTGGATTCGAATCGTAGTCAAGGAGATTAGGTAAAATATTTATTAGGCTTCGTTGTTTGGAAGTCGAGATTACCGGTATGAATCAATACTGTCATTAAATTTGATAAAGAGGCTAGGTTGTATGTTCATTTATACACATTAATCACATTTATAACCGACTTCAAAAAGGACGAGGTACTCAATTCGACTGTATTTTTTCACGTGTGGTTACCTCGTAACTTTTTTCTAGGTGAACCGATTTAAATTATTCTTTTTTTTATTTGATAGCTGATGCTTCTCATGTGGTCCCATATATTAGGTCTATCCAGTAGTTTTTGAGTTATCCTTAGTAATTTATATTAAAGTTGGTTTACTATATTTTTTTTTATTTTACCACTTGTTGTGTAATTGTTTGAAGATAATAACATAATATGTAGTAAATGTAATCGCGTAAACCGTAAGCGCGTGAAAATAGAATTCGATTGCCGGTGTTGCCAGCATCATTGACCTAACCATCAGCCTGTATATAAAGAGTGATGATTTAATATTTATTGTGATGTCAAAATATCCTATTATAATGGAAAACATTGATTTAAACACTTGTTTGAAAAATTAAAAAAACGCAAAATCTTCTACCTACTTATATAGGTCTATTTTACCATCGTACTATGATCGTACGAAGTATCCACTAGAAGAAAAAAAAACAAATGTATATGAAAGCGTGCGAAATAAATAAAATACATATTATGTTGCTTAAATTCAATAACAAAATGGTAAGACCTAAAGCAATTTGTAAATATTTACACATTTATTATCATATTATGTTTATTGCACGGCTGCTACACCGTCGTTAACTTTCTCGAGTTTCACTCGATCAATCTACGCCCGGTTTTATATTTCATTTTGCCGGTGTTGAGAAAAAGAAAAAAAATTTTTAGTAATTATTTTATACCAGTACCTATCTACTTTCGATAATTATTAATAATAGAGAACATACCCTTTATTTTACAAGAATAACATAAACAAAACGATGCCCTACCTCGATAGTTAAGCCACAGAGTAACGGTTTCTTTACTCATGTGGTTAAGCCCTTAAATATTTTAAATACCTACGTCTTTAGTCATAATCGTTATTCATTGCGTTCTGCTATTGACAGATATTTAACGCACTTTTAACTATTATTTTAGATAAAGCGATCACGTGAATGTAAAGCGACGTTGCAGTGCGTTTTAACTTTTTTGAACCTCTTTAAATTAACGAAAATTTAATTATTGCGCTAAAACAAAACGATCTCTTAAAAATAGAACATAGGCACGTACATGTGGCTGTGTGAAGATAGAAACGCGAATAATAATAATTGTCTCGATAAAAAAAAACATAATGACAGTTAATAAAATAATTAAAATAATCGTTATTTAGATACCAGCTTTGGTGAGATTCCACAATGAAAGTGTAAAAATTATATTAAATGAAAAGGATTATTATTCGAACGAAAGTTCATGTTGAAAAGCCGTTTTATAATTTAGTTTTGATTTTTATCTTACGTAATAAAAAATAAACATATTCGAATTTCGAACAGTTCAAAATCTAGCCCCCACCCTGGGCCGGGAAAGTTGTCGCGGTTATCTGATTTTCTAGGTTGGACGTACATTGCTTGTTCTAAATTATCTTCGCTATAGTATGTTACTCGTACGATTGAGTAACCGTGTAGTGGCGATGTAAGAATATCCACTACCCCATATCGTCCCGTGGATGTTGTAACAGGGTACAGAGGAAAAATGAAACAGGCGATGAGCAGCAGCATCTTCCTAATAACAACTCTAATAAATATAAAAAAACTGCGGTTTAACTAAAACTAGTTTTACGGATTTTATCGCGTATATTAACTTATTTTATATTCCTGACGTTTCGAGCACTTTACACCACCCATGGTCACGGGGGGACTGAGGTGAGGTGTAGGACGTCCCAATGTCATAGTTTTTTTTTTGGAGTTTATGGCCTGGCATCTAGACCTTTAGGCCAAATGTCATAGTTAACCATGAAGCAAATACAAAAATTTGTATTAGCTTCATGTAGTTAACCACGGCTACCTCCAGATTAAAAATTATAAATTTTTGTTCCGATCTACGCAGTATGAAATTACAGTATCTTGAAGTCTTGCAGTTATAAAACAAAACTTCGGTTTACATAATGATTTTTTATATTTACGCGAACACTGCACATTTAAATAAAACTAATTTTACGGATTTTATCGCGTATTACTTAGTACTTATTTCATATTCCCGACGTTTCTATTTAAAACTGCGGTTGCCAACCCGCTTGCGAAGCGTGGTAACTATAGCAAATTCCATGAGGAAATCTATGAAGAAAGTCTATGTTCAGCAGTGGACATTTATAGGCTGTAATGGATGAATGGATGGAGGGTAGAAAAAAAATAAGCAATAAAACTATTAACACTATAAATTACTAGTTGGGAGTCATTCCACGAGTCTTCAACGTTGTGGTTATAATGTTCGTCGTGGTAATTCTTTTAGTACAAGCAGTACAAGCAAGGAAGGTTGATGATGATGTTGCAGAGAGGATGCCCTGAAACGCATCGTATTGTGCGGTTTGCTGTTGGTTTGGATACCTCCCTTATTGGAACGAAGTTCTTTATCGGACGGTAAGGATTTGGCGGATGGGGGCTAGGCGACAAAAAGTTTAAGATTTTTCCGTCACGACCCCTTCTGACGGCCTTGGCGGCTATAAGGAAGTGAGATGGAATAATATCCATCTCCCTCACACTTTTTCTTATCTTGCCATGAAAGTAAATATATTATTTTATTTTAAATGACGCTTCATTTTAATAGACGCTAGTAATTCTTTTATTTGTATTTGTTAATCAATAATATAACACGTTTATCAATAATAATATACTACGAAAGGAAATTCGTTCCACCCGAGTGTTCCACGACACCCACACATGTTTTTTTTTTTGTAATAGATTACATTTACTTCTTATTATAATGCGTGCCAAGAATATTATTTTATAACGTAAATTCGTTACTAGGAAGTGTTCATTCATTAAAATATTATTAACATACTTATTAGCATATTATGTACTAATTCGCTCAACAACCGAGTTAACGTAATGTCTACGCACCGTACCAAAAGAAAAATGATGTAATGAACTGAAGACATTGATAAAACTGAGACATTCATGTGTTTCCTGTTGTGAAATGACAATCAATGACGTAATAAGTTTTCCCACTAAAATACCCACTGGTGACGGGTTTTCGAATGCTAGCGGAACAAATAATTATGTAGCTTAATTTTTTACTTTTCCTCATCGTTAGGTCGTAAACAAATGCCAAATACATCGATCACTAACAAAAAACTAGTGATCGATGGCCAAATAGCAGTGTGTGCACTGCTCTGTTTCGGTCTGACGGGCATTTCAACTTAGTTTTAAGAGGTGACAGCCTTCTTTGTTTGAAGTTCGCTCCAGGTGTCCATCGACAACAGCCACTTCAGATGGAATGTGAGTTCGTTTGTCACTTTAGTTTTATATGAAAATTGGCCTTCCCCATAAGAGGTAGGATTTGCCATTCTTAATAATTTATATTGGAGTCGGTTGTGCAAAATATTTTATTTTAAATTATTGTAAGTTAATAAAGCATGTATCATTAGTCAGAAGTCTGTGTTATTATTAGTGGTATCACTTTAGTCGATATTCACTGACCATCGCGCTCGTTTTCATTACTTCACCATAGTAGGCGCGTATTGCTTTCTCAATCTTTCGAACCACAATAACAATGTTTGTAGTTCTTTTTTATATATATGTAGAATAAGGGTAACAAACGAGCACACATTTCATTTGATGGTAGGAAGATGCTGTGGCCCATAGACATCTACATTTTTCCTCAAGAAATAAAATGCGGAATGCGTTACCATCCCTTAGGACTGAGATGGAATGCCTCGTTTCCAGTAAAAAGGGTCTCCGGTTCTCTCACCATACGAAACACAGCAGAATTAAGCTGCTATTTTACGCTGGTATTCTGTGAGAGAGTGGTCCTACCCCGGTCGAACCGACCCATTCGCGCTAGCTACAACCATAATATAGCTGCAGAGTGGCTCTACCACGTATGATAAGTTTTCAATTCAAAATTGAAATTATAGAAAAAAAATTATAAAATTGTTCCAGTGAACGTTGCGTTTGCTTGTAATTTTGTAACGTAATTCCAATAATTACGTAATTCGTGTCGCGGTTCTGTCGTAATTGTAACAACACTGAGAAATCCCAAGATTGCTGACATCGATTCATTTTAATTTAACATACATTGCTTGGCGCTTTAAACGTGATGGGAATTCGATTGAGCAAAAGTTGCACGCAAAAGGTAATACGAGTATATGCGGGGAAACGTTGGTCGGTATCGAAATAAATG